TTGCGAAGGAGTGAAGGGTTGAATACCAGAGGTGCAGCACCATCTTTCACTGTTCAGGGTGGTGGTTCTCTCTTTTGAATTCTCACAGGATATACATTTTATCTGTGACATTCATCTGTTGTACATTTGCCCACATATGTCTCAAACAAAATTATCCTCCCCTCCAAATCTTGCCTGACAAGACCAGATTCCAGAGGCAGAAATATATATTTAGCACCTACTTTGATAAAGCAGTATATACTTACATTTTCATGGATTTCTCTGTAGGTGCATGACCACCCAGTGTGTTGGAGTGGGCAGGTGGGCAAAGGGATTGATGTCATGAGCATGGACAATTCACTATTTTCTATAGGATTAGTGGATTATAAACCATTAATTATTGTGGGTAGAATCAGAAGGCTTCCTGTACTGACTAAATAGTAAATTATCCTCCTGCTCCTGTATCTGGAAATCCTAACAATAGAACATCAGTTCAGGATCTCATCATCCTCCCACGTAGTCCTCACACTCCATCAGAAAGCAGGTGGGGTGTGTGCAGATTGCAATGGACAATCATGCAACTGTTTGACAGGAGAGAAATTTGCAATGATCATTTTGAAAACATTACTTGTGCAATAGCCCAGCAAGGTGAAAGTAGGGATTGCAGCCTGGAGGCAGCCCTTTGATGGGGATGCTCTTGCACTTTAAGATGAAATTACCCTAAAAAGTGGGTGGCTGTGGAGAATGGCACTGCTACGGAGAAAGTTAAAGCCAATGCCGAGAAGGGCAAGTACGCATTCACTCATAGCACTCACTGCACAAAACACAGTGCATCTGTCAATACTTGAAGTCATCATGTGGGAAAAGGTCAGGAGACAATGAAAGGACATTCTCCTTACTCTTATTTTTTAAAATGGATACTAGAGTGATATGGAGGCAACTTTCTGAAAATACTGAGGGAGTTGATGTGCAGCCAGGACATTCCTCATCAAATCTTTCTAGTGCCCTTGAAAAGCTCCCAAACCTGCGCAAGCCATCTTATCACAGTGCCCAATGACCCAGTCATCAAGCTCAGGAAACCAGAGGAAATCTTTCTCACCCATAATATAAACCCCTGCAATGAAAGCGTGCGTATGCCCAGAAGAGTATATTTGTCATGTGTGTTTATTTCCAGAAGTTATGTATTTGAAGAGATGTTAGCAGGAGGTGCTGAACTCCAATCAGTGTCCCTCCCTCTCAGCCAGTGGGTCGCATTTCAAATCTCAGAGCCTGCCTGGGAGAAAAATGGCACTCTGTAGCAGGCAGTAGGATTAGCAGTAAAGGGGAGTAGCAGGCAGAGGATTAGCAGTTAGCACTCCCCATCCTGTACTAGAAATTGCCCCTCACCCCCACAGCTTTATTGCTATTTGATTGGCAGTCAGTGTTCAAAGACACAGTCTGCTACCTTTCCACCTGGCTCCACCCTTTGTGTTTTCAGCCTGGCCCCTTTAGAATTAAGCCACTGATGAGAATCTCAGTGTCAAATGTGCTATGTGAAACAGCCCTGCAGTATGGAGCAGTGTTTTTTTCTCTCTGGCACCCTGCTGGCACAACCAACAGGAAAGTCCCCTTCTTTCATACAATCATGCCATTAGGCCCATTGCACTATCAAGATGAGTATACTTCCCTCACATGGAAGCTGGTGGCAGTCACACAGCCTGCTTGTTTGTTACTGTTGTTACAAGGATCCCAGGAACTGTGTTGGGGTGCATATATCATTACCAAGGGAAGGGAATGGGGTAGAGGAAAACAAGATGAAGAGAAAAAGTCAAGCATGTCATTTAAAAAATAGTGCCCTTTATTATAAATTAAATGAATGTTTTGTTTCAAAATCCCTTGAATATAAATATAAATAGATGTGCAAAGTTTTCTTCCGCATTTGATTTTTGGTTGAGTCTTCAAGCATGTCTAACAGCCTGCAAGGCTGAAGGGTGGAATCTTTATAAAAGACAGAATGATTTTAGGCAGGACTGTAAACATTTCTTTTCTGTAAAAACAAAACCTCATCTGCCCTTCTAAAACCCTGATGTGGAAAAAAATGAAAATGAACACACAAAATTTTGGTTACAGTTTTTTTAAAAAAACAAAAAAACTTATGCTAGAGTTCCAGGTAATTCTGTTGTTGCTACATTCCTGTATGTTTCAGTTATTCAGTGCAGTTAAGGGCCCAACAAATCCACAATCCTTGCTGTAGATGGGAGACCACTCTTTGAGGAACTGGAAACCCAAGAATGAAGGCAAGACATTATTGGTCTAGGTAGGAGAAGCTAAAGTGGAACAACGCTTTGGGGGAAGTGGCTAGATCATTTCTTATCCATTTGGATGTTTTCAAAGCAGTGATGCAGCTTCTCAGAAGCATGTCCTCCTTTGCTTACATAATGGCCCAGAGAGTGAATGGCATTGTCCCCATGTGATGTGCAGTAAATCCAAGGAATAAGAGCAGGATGTGGATTCCACAGCTTAGTCCCTTGAATGAATGCATGCCAGCATCCTTTGAGGAACAGGCTTGGGGTGAAAAAAGATTCTGCCCCTCAAGGAGCATGAGAGAGGTAAAGTAAAAATTTTTATTTAAAAAAGATTTCCCCTTAAAACTGAGGAAAATCAGTCTTCAGGCACTAGCTGGATTCCAGTGCATTTATTCCATTGTCTACAGAATGGTTTTGGTCAGAGGTTAGAAGAGGCGGTGGTGGCAGGGCCAGTGCAGAGCGAAAAAAGTTCTGTTGGTTAGGGAGATGGCAAACCATTCTCTCATACCCAGCATAAGCCCTACGCAGACCAAAGTCTTTAGTGGGCTGCAGCAGGCAAGGGCAATTGTATCTTGGAGCAGCAGCCCATTCCATAGTCCAGCAGCAGCCATCTCTCCCAGAAAGCACCCCTTGGCAAACCCTCCCGTACTAACAACAGCAAGACAGTCTTTGTGCTGGCCAGAGGCCCATCCCTTCTCTTATTCCACAAGCTAGAAGGTGGCTCCATGTTGCCCTGTATGTTCCTTGTTCATCCTGTCCTGCTTTTAAATTCACGTGTTCCTCTCTTTTTTTGTGCTTGCATCATGTGCTCCCCCTTCAGGAAACCCTCTAGAAGGGTGCGTCGTACTGGTCCAGGAATTCTTTGATGGGAGCTGGGAGCTGGGTCATCTTCTCATAGGAGTTCAAGTGCCCATTGACCGTCTTGCGGCACAAGTGCTGCAGCGTGGACACATTGGAGGAGAGTGGCCGGCTCAGCACCAGGGGGATCTTCTCTCCACCTGAGTAGATGTAGTAGGCACGTTTGGGGTGTGAGGCCTCGCCAGGCTGCTGCTCCGGGAGGGGCATGTAGTGATGGACCAGCTTGAGGACACAGTCGAAGCGAGGCACCGGCTGGCTGCTGTGGGGGTCGCTCTGGAGGGAGAACTTGCCCCCCTCGCACTGGATCCGCAGGTTCTTGGTGCCGGACTCGGTCTTGACGCTGAGGGTGAAGAAGTGGCGCTGGTCGGAGCTGTCCCGGATGAGGAAGGTGCCGGTAGGCTCGGCGCTGAGCAGCAGGTTGGCTTGGCCGCCGGTCACGGCGCTCCAGTAGAAGCCGCTCTCCTGCAGCTTGCGCACGGCGTTCACCACCAGCTGGTACTCGCTCTTGGAGCTGAACGTCTTGAGGCGCAGGCTGGTGTCCAGCGGGTGGCTCATCCCGGCGCTGGGGAACTTGCTGTGGGTGACCATGGCGCAGGGAGCCAGCTTTCCGGGAGGTCGGGGCTGCTGCTGCCCAGTGCAGCGGCGGCTGGCGAGCGGACCTAAGAGGAAGCGCGGCAGGGGAGGAAAGGTGTGAGACAAAAGGCTGCTCCGTCCGTCCCCGCAGGGCCCGTCCCACGCCATCCGTCCGTCCTCCCCGGGCACACGGCAGGGAGGGAAAGTGGCTGCCGCCGGAAACCTCCCCCTGTGCGCTTGCCAGCCCTGAAGAGGTATTCCCCCGCTGGGTCCCGGACCCCGCGCCCTCGAGCCAGGCGCCCCCTCTGCCGAGTGTGAGTCCCGCGGGGAACCCCCCCTCCGGCTGCCAGCCTTCCCCCCCTCTCGCCGCCTCGGGGCAAGAGGCGCCACGCGCTCGAGGCGGGCACGGCGCCTTCCCCCGGCGCACAGAAGCCC